CCCGCCGAGGACCCCGCGGGCCCCCCACCGCCCGGGACCCCGCGCCCTCTCGACAGCCCCGGGCCCCTCACCCCCTCCGGACGGCTGCTGAGCCGCGGCCGCCGAAAGCAGCAGCAGCGACAGCGCGACGGCGCTGAGGAGCAGCTCCCAGCACTGCACCAGGCCGCGAGCGCCGCCGGACGCCATGGTGGCCGCGGCCCCGCTGCTCTGTGCGGCGGACGTCAGCGGAACTCGGACCACCTCCACCGCGGGGTAGACAGTCCCCCCCACCCCCGGAAGAGCCGCAGCCGGAAGTGGGTGGGGTGCGCGGCACGGCCGAGTGCGCAGCCGCGGTCCCGGCTTGCCCCGCCCCCAACCGTCCGGCCCTCCTTCCGGGGGCTGTGTTCCCCCGCCCCGCGGTGCGGCGAGGGCGCGGCTCAGTGCGCATGCGCGGATGCAAGGTGGGGGGCGGCGGGGCTCGGTGCGCCTGCGGGGCTGCGCGGAGGTATCCCCTGGCGGCCGGGGGTCGGTGACCCGGACCCTAAGGCCGTGAGGCGGTCCGGCAAGGTGGCCCCGGGACCTGATGGTGCCGCCGCCGACGCCACGCTGGTCCCCGCGCCCCGTGCGCACGGAGAAGATTTCGCAGTGCAGCGGGCACCTGAGTCAGAGAAGCCAGGGGGCTCGCCCCCTTTCCTCGCGGAGACGCACCTGCGCCCGCACCCCCGCCTCTCGCCTCCCCACCGAGCTTGTTGGGAGGCTGCTGGAGAAATGCTGCGCACTGCCGGCGTCCCCTGGCTCTCCAGAATGTTGGCGTGACCACAGTGGGGTGGGACGTGGCAGCTGTCCGCGGAAGCGGGCCATGCACCTCCCGCTGCCCCGGGTCCGGGGGGGGTCCTCGGGGAGCGGGGCGGGCGGCTGGGGCGCGGGGTCTCACGGGGGACTGCCCGCCAGCCTGGCGTTCCGGGGACCCCCATGCCATTCGCTGGCGTGTGGCACTGCCGTCCCTCACCGGCCTCAGCGGCGAGGGAAGCGGGATTGCGGTGGGCTCTGCAGTCTGACCTGGGGATCTAAACTCCGCCCCATTCGGCCTGCTGGGTTTCAGCGTCTGCCCTGTAAAACTTCTGTGCCCTCCCCTCCCTGGGAGGGCCCCACAGCCCCTTGAATTTAGCTTTGCCCTTAACCCCCAGGGCCAGTGTGCCAGGACTCTTGGTCATCGTGTATTTGTGCCTCCTTGTCTGTGCAGGCACTGAAGGCAGCGTGGCCTCATCTGCGCCCCGTCCTTCCGGTGTGGGAAACCACCCCAGGGATAGATAAGTGCCCTAGGTATCAGCGCCAGAAGAAGGGTGCCTCAGGGCTAGCATGGCGACCTGGCCAGTTCCTGCCGTTGGAAACAGAATACACACCTGCCAGCGTTTAGAAGTATGGCCCCAGAAACCAACAGGTTTTCACCCTAACAACACAAACCCACAGCAACAACTTAAGGATAGTTGAAGGACATTGGGCATTTGTCAACATTCACCAGGACACAGTGGATGCTGCGACATTTGAAACAGTGCCCTCAGCAGTGGCGTTTCTTTTATTTGTGAGAGAGATCATGCACAAGTGGGCAGAGGGGAAGAGAGACAGCAGACTCCCCGCTGAGCGCCAAACCCCACATGGGGCTCAGTCCCAGGACCCTGAGATCGTGACCTGAGCCGAAGGCAGACGTGTCACCAACTGAGCCACCCAGGCGTCCCCCAGCAATGGCATTTTAAGACAACTGAGTTTTGCAACAATTGCACAACACAGAAGTTCTAAAATACTCAGTAACTAGAGTCCATGACCTGTTTTAGAAGTGAGGAGGTGGGGGCATCATCCAGTGGTCAAAGAGCTTGACGCTCATGGGAGAGAGACCCCAATATCGTGAGAAGCATAGCCGCAATGGGATGATTCCTCCTGGCGGTCTGCAGCCTGAAGAGCGTGTGCTTTTTCCAAGAAAGATAGCTGAGGAATTAGACAGATACAGTCACAATGGGGTCCACTTGGGGGGAGCAGGGCTGTCCTCAAACACCAGGCTGGTCGTCGGGTGGAAGCCAGAGCCCCCTGGTTCTGCAGCTCCAGGGCCCTACTTCGGAGTTGTATTTATGGGAGTCACTTGCTGGGCATTTTCACCAGCCTTGTTTTTATTTGTGGTCAGTGTGCCATCAGATTTTGTCGTGGAGACTACATTCCTCTTAGTAAATTAAAGAATTACTTCCGGAAAGGCCGTGTGAAAGAGAGCAGAGCTGCTCCCTGGCCAGGTAACACATCAAGTCTGTGATTTTTGACGCTGGGAGAGCTCATTTTCAGCTCAGCTGAGGACGGAAGGAGCACTTGAGGGCCTGGGACTTTGGACAGCCTTGGAGGGATCTGTAGGAGCTCTTAGAGGGGCAGGGGACTCTGGGGCAGAGGGAGGGATGGACAGAGGCTGGTGGTCTGGAGCCCACTTAACACGGTTGGATTAAGGGATGCTACAGACCCTGCCCCTGGGCGTGCGAGATGGCTCCATTGGGAGCTGCAGGTGGCACCTAGCTGCGTGGGCTTGGGAGCTGGTCCTGGTCCCTGCCATGTCAGGCCTCTGAGGCCCAGGGATTTGCCCTGGACAGAGGTGCCGGATGTGGAACACTCTGGCCACCCACCCCCTGTGAGCAGTCTCTTGGAGTCCTCTCAGAAACAGGTGGAAGGGGGCTCTAGGGACCGGTAATGTGACAAGACAAAACTTTCTCAAGGTCACGCAGCCAGTGAGATGCAGAGCTAGACTTCGAGCCAGGGCTTCACCAGAGTCTCATCTGGCCCCCCTCCATCCCACGGGGACAAGGTGGGAAGGTTTCAAGAGGATTATTTGAAAATTAGTGGGAGTATGTCACACAAACAGGAAATGGGACTGGGAGTAACTGACGCTGTGGTTCATGCTTCTTTTTTGGTGGGGAAGGGCAGAGGGATCCTGACATAGGGCTCAGTCTCACAACCCTGAGAAATTAAAGAGTTCGATGCTTGGGGCACCTGGGTGGCTCAGTCGTTGACCGTCTGCCTTCGGCTCAGGTCATGATCCCAGGGTCCTGGGATGGAGCCCCACATTGGGCTCCCTGCTCAGCTGGGAGTCTGCTTCTCCCTCTGCCTCTGCCCCTACCCACCCCCACCTCTCAAATAAAATCTTAAAAAAAAAAAAAGTCAGATGCTTAACTGACTGAACTATCAGGCACCCCTTTGGATCCTGTTTCTGGAGACTGCCTCGGGGTATCAGCCCAGGCCTGGCCTCAGCTGGCCTGCCAGAGAAGGTCCCCAAGCAGGGCAGACCCCTCCCTCCAGGCAGCCTCCTCCCCAGCGGGCATCCCCCCTGCACACACAGCATCTGCAGCCCTCACCTGCAGACCACACATTTATGTCCATAATTAGACATCCTCCAGCTTCATCTAGTGGTTCTCAAGGTAGAGCGTGCATCAGAATCACCTGCAGGACTTGACAAGACCCAGATCGCTAAGCCCACCACAGAGCCCCTGACTCAGCAGGTCTGTGGCCACTGTCATTTCAAGCTCCCCAGGTGCAGGCTGGGCTGAGACCCCTGAGCAGGAACATGCTACCAGCTTGAGCAGTGATGGGGGCGCTGGCCTGTCTAGCCCCACCACCTGCCCGAACAAAGAGCCCCAGGCCACATGCAGTATAGAGGCCCTTTCATGGAATTAACGATCCCAGTCGGGAACCCAAAGCCACATACCCTCCGCATGGGCCCAGTTGCAGGTCTGCGGCAGGATGGGGGGCACAAGGGGGGAGGTGATGTGGGGAACAGAGGCAGAAGGACTTGTAGATAAAATTAAATGTCCTTATGACCTGCAGCCCGTTGAATACTCGAGGAGGGCAGAGTGTAACCTTCCAGGAAACTCGCAGCTGTCTTCTCTGGAGCTAAGCCAAAAGGCCGAGAAAGTGATTACCACCCTCGCTTGACAATAGCCTGACCTCCTGTATCCTGAGAGTCTTTAGCATATGACAGTCCTTTTGGAAATTTCCCCTTGTCTTTCCTTCCCCCAACTCCCTAGTACATAAATTACTGGTCACAATCCCACAGAAGCCGCTCTTTCTGCCCATGGGTCCTGTCCTGTGCTATAATAAAACCACCTTTTGCACCAAAGACGTCTCAAGACTTCTCTCTTAGCCGTCAGCTCTGGACCCCAATGCTCCAAACCACATCATGGGGCGAGTGGCCCCCCCGGACATGGAAGCTCAGCACCCCTACCCCACACATCTCCTCATCTGGCGGTTGATTCACATCCTTTGTAATAAACCGGTAACCCAGTGAATAAGCCACTTTCCTGAGATCTGGGAACCGCTCTAGCAAACTCATTGAACCTGATCTGTAGCTAATTATCGGAAGCACAGACGACAGCCTGGATTTGCACCCGGCACCTGAAGGGGAAGAAGCAGCTTGGTGGCCCTGAGCCCCTAGCCTGTGGGATCTGACGCCACCTCCGGGATAGACAGTACCAGAATTGAGTTGGTTTGGTGGGACACGCCCTCGGAGTCCTCAGAGAATTGAGTTAGTTGCTTGATGGTGTGGTAGAAACACGCACGTCAGAGGTGGCCAACCACCCATGTTAGCCCAGGCTGCATCGTCTCCTGGGAGAGAGGACTTTCAGGTTTAAGGCCAGGATGTCCCAGGCAAACCGGAAGACTTGGTGTTGACGAAAAATGAACAAACCTTTAGAATCTCTGTAAGAAAGAATAGAGTTTCTCTATTTCTTTTTTTTTTTCTTCAAGATTTTATTTATTTATTAGAGAGGGAGAAGCAGACTCCCCGCCGAGCAGGGAGCCCGATGCGGGGCTCGATCCCAGGACCCTGGGACCATGACCTGAGCAGAAGGCAGACGCTCAACTGACAGCCCACCAGGCGCCCCAAGTTTCTCCATTTCTAATAGAAGTTTTCTTCAAGGGCAGGTTAGGACAGCTGCCAGGAACCACGCTCTTCACAGGGAAGGAAGTGCTCCAAAGAATGAGTAGTTTTTACAGGATTATGTAATTTTTTTACATCTTGTAAAAGCTCAAAAAATTATAGCTCGGGGCGCCTGGGTGGCACAGTCGGTTAAGCGTCTGCCTTTGGCTCAGGTCATGGTCCCGGGGTCCTGCTCCTTGCTCAGCGGGGAGCCTGCTTCTCCCTCTGCCACTCCCCCTGCTTGTGCTCTCTTTCCCTCTTTGTCAAATAAAAAGAAATATTTTTTACAAAAAGGTTATAGCTTAACATTGGCAGGAATCAGGAGTTTTATCGTAAAGGAATGTGGGGAGCCAGGGGCATTGACGGGCATCTCAAGGACTAGACGGTTTTCCTTCAGCTGACTCATTCACAAAGCAGGTGCACGATGCGTGGGTAGCGGGGCCATAAGTCAGGCTTTTGGTTCAAACAAAGTTTATGTACAGTCATGCTGACTTAGACAGAAATCTAAACTGGCTCCCCTTGTCTATCCGGTCTTTAGAGAGGTTTTCTCGCATCACTGGGCACTGGGGCCTGGTTGTAGACTTACACCCATGTTATTCTGACACCCTCCCTCTCTCCTCCCCTTTAGAAAGAGCAGAGGCCCCAGCTGGAGGCTTGGGGTGGGGGGGCACAGGGCAGCATGAGAGAATTACAGCCCTGTTGTAGGAAAAGGAAATAAGGTCACCCCGAGCATGTGGGGACGGGCTGTGGCGGGAAGGGACTGGACATGACCAGGCATCTGCAAGGGTTTGGGGTCCAGAGTGGGGACCTCGGGCACGCAGACCATGTGTGAGATGGGGAGGGGACTGGGCAGGGCCACCACACGTATGGGGCCGGGAGACCACAGGGTGACCTGCAGTCCAACATAGCCTGAAAGCACTTTCATTTCGCTCAGTGGGGTTTTAACATTTTGGTTAGAGCAAACGAAGCCCGAGTCTTCTAGGCACACGGAAGGACGCGGTAACTGGCTGGTCTTTGCTATCCCGTTTCAGACACGCTGTGTATGAATAGGGCCGGTCCCACAGTGGGACCCGTGATTCTGACTGGTTTCTAGGGCGGCGGGGATGCGGTGGGCCGCTGGGCCTGGCCTGGGGAAGGGGGGGAGGGGTGTGGCCCAGGAGGACGACGGTTGCCTTTGGCGGGGAGGGCGGCGGCGGGAGGGGGGGAAACACGGGAAGATGCCCCCCACAGAAGGTAGGGCCTGCAGCGAGGATTCTCAGCAGCTGAAGGTTAATGGGGGAGGTCCTCAGTTTTGTCTTTAACCCTTGCTCTAAGTTCTGCGTCACATGCTTTCCCTGCCCAGCACACAACTGTAGCTTGATCCTGGCTCTGTGGGTACTTCTGCGTGCATCCCGACAGCAAGGAATTTGTTCAGCCTTTCTCCACTGCCACGGGCCTGCCACGGTGCCCATCAGTGCTTTCTGAATGAGTGGCTTGGGTTTTCGTTTGTTTCAAATGTTTTATTTATTCATTTATTAGAGAGAGAGAGAGAGAGCATGTGCGTGCAAGGGGGGAGAGTGAGTGGGGAAGAATCTCAAGCGGACTCCACGCTGAGCAGGGAGCCCGACGCGGGGCTCCATGCCAGGACCCTGAGTTCACAACCTGATCAGAAACCCAGAGTAGGACGCTCAAGTGACTGAGCCACCCAGGTGCCCCGCTGAGTGGCTGTTTCTAAGTCAAGGGTTAGGCTGGGATTTTTTTTTTTTTTTAAGGAAATAATGTAAGGGCAAATATCCTCTGAAACTATGTTTATGTGCATGACACAGATACAAGCAAGCTCCCCGATATCTGCACCGAATCGGCCTCTCTTATCCGCGTACATTGGAGCTGAGAGCGGGCACGCACCCTGGTGTGGCTGCACAGGACTGGAACGTGGCCCTTCCCCTGGGGACCACGGGACCTTCCCCCCCACCCCAACGGGCTCCCCCCAGACCCTGGCCACACGAGCCTGCTGACCTGTGCCGACTGTGGGCACTCCCATGTCCTGGTTGTCACCGATGGACACCAACACGCACTGCAAGGCCACAAGACGGGGCTGTGTCCCACAGCTGCATGGTGCTGGATCAAGGTGACTTCCAGATCACCCGTGACACAGCCCGCGGGAAACAAGCTTACTTTAAAACTCGGAGAGATGCCCATTTCCCCGTTCCACAGACGGCCCCCTTCTGTGAAGCTGCCTCATGTCTTCTAAAAACTGCTTAGGATGTGGGGCAGTGTTGGGGGTGGAGGGCCACAGACACACGGCCAACAGGTGAGGAAGGAGAGAAGCGCGAGCCACGGCCCACGGTCCACACGGACCCTCCGAGGGTGCACAGAGCCCAGCTTCCACACACAGCCCCGACTGAAGTTTTATTTATTTTTTCTACACACACGATTGGGAAACAATGTCATCAATGGGATGTGATTTTTATACCCCGATAAGTTCAAATATAAATAAATTTGTGCCACAATGAGATTGCCACTCTAAGTTTTACAGGAAAACGCATCTAACCTCATAAGACCCAAGCAATTCCTTCTTCAAGTCTCTACCACAAGGTCAGACACATCAGAGGGGGGAGGCTGTCCCCTCCAACACATCCATATTGTCACCTGACCATACCTATTATTTCAACAGCAGAAAACAACAGTGGATTTTCGGTTAATGGGAGAAATTGTCAAGGATTGTGAGCCATGTCCCTGGAGGAGCCTGGCGGAGGAGATGTGATCTGGGGGTGTTTCCATCTGGTTCAGACAGTGCTGTCTTGACTAAGCGCCCTAACTCTCAGCAAACTTCGGGTTCATGACTGTCGTGGTGGCGCTCTTGAAAAGGGGGTTATCCTGGTGGGAAATGCAATGCGACTCATCAGTGGCGGGGGGAGAAAGAGCCAGGAGTGGGGGTGACCTTCCCCCGGGTCCCAGCTCCAAGGACGAACTCCGGGGGCAAGTGGACCGGTTTGGGGGGGGGACCATCTCGACCCCTCGACCCCCAGGGACAGCCACTCACGTTGTTCCACTGGGACTTGAGCTTCTCCTTCTCGAATCGCTTGTACTCCCGGAGATCACTCAGGTGAGTCAGAGCCTTCCAGATGGCCAGCAGAAGGATGCCGATGAGCACAACTCCCGACACAGTGCCCCCCACAATGGGGGCGATTTTGGGGCCCCCCACACACTCTGAGGCAAGGAAGAAGCACATACACATTAGTGTCAGGCCCTCCCTGGCTCACCTGGCCCCCTGTGTGCCCTGCCCCAGGTCACTGCCCAGTGGTTAGGTGGATAGAGCCTTCCTGCATCTGCGTTCACCATCAAGGCAACAGGTAGGCGAGGGAGCCTCCAGCCCCAAGCCAGGGAGGAAGGCCAGGCCCTGTGGTTCCGGAGGAAATTTAAAGGCCCCTTGTTTACACAGAAAGAAAGTGGACCAGACACCGGCCTCCTGACTCGGTTACCACCAGCTGGGACAGCCAATGGCCCCATCACCAAAACTCGCTGAGTCGGAGTTCATCCTCAGGCAGGAAATGATGCCTGAGGCCCCCAACACATCTTAGCTGAGTTTAGGGATGAGGACTCAGCTGGTGAAAGCCTTCCCGAGGAAACCAGGGTGGGGTCCTAATGCCCCGACCTCCTCCTTCAGGGCTGGGGGCTGAGGTGTGCCACACTCAGCCCCTGACCAGGGGACCGAGCCCTTATTTGCCTGCCCCTGGACACCCATGTTTCCCTGTGCTCCCTCCATCAACCTGGCCTTTCTAGGGAGCTTGAGCAACTTGGCCACGGCTGCGCAAACCCAGACAGGATCCCAAATCTGCCCATCAGAGAAACCCAGCGAAAGCTCTCCACGCTGGCAGGCCGCAATCCACAGGCCCCAGGCCCACGCTGTGAGCTCCTGGCCACACAGAGGCCCTGAGCCCCACCTGCCTTCCTGCGGTTCCCACCGTGGGGAGGGGAGCTGGGAACAGAATCAGTCCTGCAAGGGCCCTGGTGGATGGCTTGCCCGCACCTGCTGCATCCACCCACAGGGTTGGGCCTTCCAGCCCCATGCTCCCCTGCCCTCAGCCTCTCTGAGCAGGAAAGGAGGGGTGGGGTGGTGCTGAGCGTCTGTGTGTGCCCCCCACACCCCTGGGTGCCGCTTCTCGGGAGCCCTGAAACCCATCCCACCATACTCCCAAAGTCCCACACCCACATGTGTCTGTCACTGTCACGCACCCAGCGTGGCGCCTAAAAACTGGCCTGACCACACACACCACCTGTTGGGGCCTGTGGATCTCCTTCCCACTCCTCCCGGCCGCGTGCCTGTGTTCCATTCAAGGGCAGGCTCTGTCCACGCCACCCCCACACCCCCGCCCCCTCCACGCGACCCTCCCCGCGCCACAGCGCCCACGTCCTGCAGCAGGCCCTCAGGGCTCCGATGTGTCCCTCGCTCTTCTGAAAACTGCTAACAGCTTCTTCGTATGTTTGGAGGGAGACCCAAATGCCTCGCGGGCTTCACAGGGGGCCCCTGAAAACCCAGAGCCAAGGGCCTCTGGCCCCACGGCCACGTTCCCCCTGTACGGACGTCCCATTCCGTGGTCTCGGCTGCAGCGGTCCTCCTCCGAGAGACCATCTGACCCCCGACCTCAGGGCCATGCGCCCCTGCCGCCACCTTTGTACCTCGTGACCCTGGCCACGGTCTCACGGGGTCTCGGGTACAGGCCGAGGGTGTCCCCAACCCCCTTGGAATGCGAGCTCCTTGAGGACAGGATCGGGGTCCCCGTGTTTTCGACCACGGCTGGGCGGGTAGCCCGCCGAGCGCTGAGGACCCGCCGGCGGCATTTGGGAGGCCGCCCCCGGGGCTGAGACCGGGGCCTGCGGCGGTCCTCTCACAGCCCCCCAGGGGCCGGCTCCGGGACCCACGCCTCCGAGCCCCGCACCGCCTCCCACGGGTCAGGACGTGAGCCAGGGCCAGGGGCCGGGGCAGGACCGTGGCTGCGGACACTTGCCCGACCCCCAGACCCGCCCTCCGAGGGAGGAGCTCACCCTCGGGGCGGCAGCCCCCAGCTCCGCCTCACCTCGGGCATCGTCCACGTGGATGTCATAACTGTCCCTGCCTGCCCGCTGCCGCAGGGTGTAGGTGACCCAGCAGCCATCCAGATCCCGCTCCTTGCACCTGCGGCCCCTCTCCGGCCGCTCGCTCAGCAGGCCCACGTTCCCGCACTCCACGCTGCAGTTCTTCCCCATGGGGTTCTGGTCAAACTTGAGGCACTGGGCGCAGGTGCTGCAGAGGAACCAGCGAGGGAGCGCGGGCGTGGGTGTGAGTGTGAGCGCGGGCGTGGGTGTGAGCGTGGGTGTGAGCGCGGGCGTGGGTGTGTGAGCGCGGGCGTGGGTGTGAGCGCGGGCGTGGGTGTGAGCGCAGGCGTGGGTGTGAGTGTGAGCGTGGGTGTGAGCGCGGGCGTGGGTGTGAGCGCGGGCGTGGGCGTGAGTGTGGCGTGAGTGTGAGCGCGGGCGTGGGTGTGAGCGTGAGTGTGAGCGCGGGCGTGGGCGTGAGTGTGGCGTGGGTGTGAGCGCGGGCGTGGGTGTGAGCGCGGGCGTGGGTGTGAGTGCGGGCGTGGGTGTGAGCGCAGGCGTTGGCGTGGGTGTGAGCGTGAGCGTGAGTGTGAGCGCGGGCGCGGGCGTGAGTGTGGCGTGAGTGTGAGCGCGGGCGTGAGTGCGAGTGTGTGGGCGTGAAAGCCGGCGTAAGCGCGAGCCCGGGCATGGGTGTGAGTGTGAGCGCGGGCGTGAGCGCACACGCATGAGAGCTCGGCCCCAGGCGGAGGGAGAGGTCTGCTGGGGGGTGGGCGCTGAGCGGGGCTCCCGGGGGCGGGCGGGGCCTGGCCGGCGGGGGGGGGGGGCCGGGGGGGGGAGGCGGGGGGGGCGAGGGGGCACTCACATGTACCGGCCGCAGGGCGACGGGCAGCCCAGGCACTCCAGGCACAGGGGCGGCTGGTAGCCCGCATCGCACTCGCACACGTTACAGCGACAGCGGCCGCGCCCGTTGCACTCGAAGCCCTCGGCGCTCAGGCAGCCCCGGGTGGACCGCTCGCACTGGCACGCCGAGCCCTCGAAGCGCTCCTTACAGGAGCACTTGCCGCAGGAGCAGCTGCCCCGCTCTGCAGGACGTGGGCCGGCACTCAGCCCCGCCGGTCCCACCGCCCGGCCCTGCCCCCGCTCGCCCCGGTCCGCCTGTCTGTCCACTCCACCGCCCGTCCCT